ATGGTCCCTTACAATTTTAAAGCAATTTTTCTTTTCCTGGTCACTAATTGCAATCTTATCTTCTATATCTGAAATTTTGTCCTCACATCAGCTCATTCTGCTGTGTAAACTTTCAATGGTGTTTTTAATCTCCTGGAAATCTGTTTGCATCTGTTTTATAGATTCCATTTGTTTTCTATGTTGGGATTCCATCATGTTCCTCAGCTCCTCTATTTTTTTTATCTGTGTCCACTCTAGATTTATTAATCACATCTTGCACTATGGGCACAATCTTTGCTGTTATCTGAGAAATTATTTCCAAATTCATTTTTTCCAGATCCTCTTTTGTTGCCAGTTCATGGAGTCCAGGTGGTTGAGTATCAGATTGTTCCATCTTGTTTCCCTTTGGGGTTGCCTTAGGTGATCTGGAAGTCTGGTTTTGAGGCTTGTTTACTTGTCTTCTCATTTCAACAGATGCAGCCTGCTGTGCCTTTGTTGAGGCAACTTTTCGCTCACCCAGTGGTTTTCAATTCTCAGCAAGCCATAGAGCTGCCTTTTCTCTGTTGCTCACCAGTGCACTAATTCCTGGGTTCAGAAAGGTGGCCTTCTGGATCCCTGAGGTTGTTTGGGTGGGCTTCTGGCTAGGGCCTGTGCCCACATTGGATGGTATATAGGTGTGCCTCTGCCTAGGGCCCCTATGTACCTGTTGTCTGGGAGGACCTTTGGCTGGGATCTGTGCACCCCAGTTCCTGTTGTGTGAGCAAGTTTCTGGCTAGGGTCTCACACACTTACTGATGATGCAGCTGTGACCCCCCCTGGCTATTGGTTGTGTGCCTGTGCAGCTCTTTTCCAGGTGGGCCCTTGGCTTCAGCCGGTGTTCCCCAAGCCTCTGGGGTCAGGGTGGTGTCCTGGCTGGGATCTGCTTGCAGCGTTGCACTGCTCTGATCCACACTGCTGCTCCTCCAACCAAGATAATCTGGTGTACCTTTATTGCAGAGATTTTCTTCACTTTTCTAGTGGGCTTTAATTTTCATCAAGGGGCCTCAGAGAGCCCCTCTTTCTGTTGTTCACTTCTGGTCTATCTTCTCACGCTCAGAACAATGTCCTTTATGACCCATGCAACTCTGTGGTGTGGATCCAGGTAATAGCTTGGCACAGCCAGGAGAGGGGGTGGGTGCTCCTCAGAGCTCTGGGAAAGTGGTTCAGAGCACCCCTGTATTGTTGAAAAACACTGCTGATTTTCAATAATTACTATTCTTAGATGACTTTTGATTGTGTAAGAGTAATTTAAAATATGAAACCATACTTTTCAATCTGTGTGTGTGTGTGTGGTGGGGA